CCATCGTTTTGTCAGAGGCTCAAGAAATTAAGGAGGGAACGAAATGAGTAAGGAAGTTAGGAAGGAAGGGAGGAAAGAAGGAAGGTAGGAAGGAGGAAGCAATATTGAGACCTGTTTCACAATGAATTCACTGGATGTAACTTTGCTCGCCAGTTTTCCGCAGATCCATTGGAAGCGCTGCCTTGACTTTTATCAAATACTGCAAAGATTCCAACACCTCAGGCCCTATGCCCTTGTTGAGTTCATTGTCAGTCCATTCTCTCCTCAGTCGACGACAAGCAAGTAATGCAAACCGTGCCGACTCATGATATGGAGCAATAGCTTGAATCGCGCGAACATATTTGAGGCAAAACATCAGGAAAGCTTTCTTGGCGTGGAGGGTAGACGAAGCAGACAGTATAGTCCTTTGACCATTTTCTAGTTTCGCCACGAATTGATCATAAGCACATAAGGTTCTGTTCAGGCAACCAATGTGGCCAATGCAACTGTAAGAAAAGATGCACCGATTAGTGAGAAGTTTGGAAGCCAAATTTAAAATTTGCATGAGGTGGTGGTGGTGGTTGGTACAATTGACAGTTGGGCATGCAATTTACGTGATAGCATGTGCTGTGATTTCGCAAATCACGCGTAGGCTGACCAATGCGAGAGTGGCTAGGCTTTCCCCGCCTTCTACTCTATCAATCCAACTCATGAAATCTACTCTGCCACCGGTTATCGTCTGTGTGATCTCTCACACTGTATAATGAAATGGTGAATAAATCGCTGGCCCTTTCTAGTATAATGGAGAAGTAACGTTGCCCTACACTCCGTCAATCCCCGAACAAGAGTGGCTTTATTGATATATCATGGATTATCCATTACAACTTAATTTTCTGCATTCTTCATGCAATTCCCCATTCTTTAATCTGTGCACGGCCCAGTTCTATTCATTTGTGTCAGTCTGAGCTGCCCAATTACTAACTGCTAATATCCTAATATTGGAAATATATAAGGGGTGCGATAGATTTACCTCCACGTGGTGGTCTCCGAGCAGCGTATTCTCATACGGCAAAAAAGTCAATAATTCGGCAGTTGACTTCTGACTTCAAACTACCATCACCCCACTGTATAGTTGACCACTGACTTCAAACTACCATGACCCCACTGTATGCCTTGACTTCTGACTTCAAACTACCATGACCCCACTGTATGTTACAAAGTATACTCATACGGCAAAAAGTCTATAAACCGGCAGTGGACTTCTGACTTCAAACTACCCTCACCCCACTATATGTCACAACTTCTGACTTCAAACTACCATCACCCCACTGTATGCCATTTCGAACGATTCCTCTGCCTTTGTGTCTGTTTGTCCATCTCTTTATCATCTTTGAATTACTCTACTGTTCCCCTATCCACTTTTTTCACCTTGATGTTCCTCCCCTCTGTGAAGCCCAAAGTCAGCTAAGGATAATGATAAGTGCCATAAAGCCCTCCATTTGAAATAAATATTGAAAATACCTTCAATTGTGACCCCAACAAATGGGTATATTTACTTTCTAGGATTGATTTCTGCATGAAGGAGGGTCAACTATCGGTTGCATACTCACCTGTCTCCCTCAAAGTGACCTAATTACCAAAACCTTAAACTATCCTTTACTGTTTACGTTAGTTCTTCATTTTTCAGTGGATGTTCCAGCAAAGCACGTAGTGTTAGCCTTCCTTTAAACTGTCTTGCGGCGGTAGAGGGGATGGAGGGAATAGCTGGGTAGAGAACGAGTTTAATGTAAATTCAAGGTTATATACTTTTACTAAATCCAACAAGGTCGCCATTCTTCATTCTCCCTATTTCATAGGAGTACCTACAATCACATCACAGCTCGCCTTATATGTGAGTACCACTTCAGGTGGCCTGTAATTCAACGTGTAAACTGACTAGAAGTAAT